GGGTGGTTCAATAGTTATTTTTTCTATTCATGTTGTTGCTTCTCCTTTTTGTGCAACTTTTCTACTCCTTTCAAGATCAGGTCATCCGCTAGTATTGCTATGACTTTGGTCATTCTTTTTGGGCTTAGATGTTAAATCATCTTCCTCAGTTAGAACGAAATTTGAAAAAAAAATTGTTTCCTTGTTGAGAAGTTATCAACTTCTATCAAAATTGAGGATCGGTTAAAGTAATTATGCAGGATGTAGTATATTTTGGTCTCCCTTGTAGTCTAATTTGTTATGTAACTTGGTAAGTATTCTTCTCAGTTGGATCCTGAGCTGGAATTTGATCGCGAGGTATACCCTCTAGGCCTTCTTCCAAATGCTGGTGTTGTTGTTGGTGTTTCCCAGAGAATGTCATTTTCGGCTTGTACGGAGTTCCCATGTTTTGAGCCAACTCCTCAAGCTCAAACTATACTGCATTGCCTGTTAAGGCATCTTCTTCAGGTACTATTCTCTCTAACATGAAAGTGAAGATCCCTTGTTTCATGCAAGGTCATTTCTCTAGAGAAAAAAAATAAAAAATAAAAAATCCTACTGTCTTTTGTTACATCATAACTTGCCTCTCTCATAGGGCATTTTGAATTCCTAATCTCGTGCCTTTTTATCTTTTCTTTTGCTTGCTGAGTGAATAAGGTAATTTTAAGGCATTTGTTTGAAACTTAATATCAAAATAGTCCCCTACTGATCAGGTGCAAATTGCAATTAGTTCATGTTTGATCAATGTCCGCAATGCATGACTTCATAAGTTCTGTATCAACTTGGCACTGGTCTTCTCCAACAGACAACAAATGCCTGAACATGGAACTACGACCTTTTTCTTTTTTGGTCCCTTCCATTGAGATCATTAACTGGATGTTGGACTGTCAGTGAGCTTAGATCAAGCCCAAAAGCGTGAACTTGACTTAAACTTCATTGCTTTAAGATTTTGTTTAGACACATGAATAATGGGGGGCTGACCAGGTTCCACTAAACTGCGCTTGGTTACCAAATAAGAAAATGCCCCTGTCAATTAGGTGGGATGGGGTCTAGGGGGAGGTTGCGGGTTTGATCCCTTAATGTATAAAAAAAAAATTAACATATAATTCTCTCAAAATTTTCATTGCACTGATTGGTGATTTTCATTACTTTGCTTATATGCTTTGAATTGCTGACTTGTAGTAAAACAAATTCTGGTAAGCCCAATGAGGTGAATAGGGTCCCAAATAACAGGAGATGTAAAAAGCAGGTCCAATTACGCCTATTCCTGATCCTCAATGGAATGTAACGACCTAGGGATCCATATGTAAACATATTATCTATTTAGATATGCTTGAATGACCCAAGTTCTCTACCTTTTGGGTACCTACACTTGCTAGTAGTAAGAAGTACAAAAAAAAAAAAAAAAATACTTTTTTTGTCTTCGAACCACTATTGGTCATATTTCTCTTTATCGAAAAATCAAAGAAGCTATACAAGGGTACACTGGTGGTGTTTGCTTACAGCTTGCCAATACGTGTTGCTGACATGTTCTTGGTTGGAGATCTTGGACTTGACTCTGATTTTTTTTTTTTTCTCTTTTCCTGAACGATAGAGGGACAAAAGAGAAGAGGCTTTGAGGTTGGCTCAATTATCAGCAGAGAAGCCTCATTTTTCTCATTGCCTGGAGTGGCTTCTCTTTACGGTGTTTGATGCAGAAATATCCAGGTATGTGTAAACAGAAGAATTAAAAATCCTCATCCATTAATAGGTCAATGGACGATTCTCAAATCACAGTGGCGAATATCTACAGGAGCTTTGTTGAACATGAAGTTACTGGGTACTTTTTTATACTTGGCTAGCCAAGTTAACTATTTGTCTTAGTGAATCAAATTTCCTTTTAAACCCAAAGACCCAATCTCTATCAATTCTGGTTAAGGTAGGATTTGACCATAAGGTAGGATTTGACCATGGAGCAGGAACTATTGTGAGGCTTGTACGTGTTATATCCAATGTTAGCGACGGTGGTTAAATCTTACTCTAACCAACTTTCAATACTGGAAACTTATTTGACTAAGCGCTATATCTAGCTCATTTAACTTGGTACTTTCGTGGAATGGGCTCCTGGATGTACCTTCCTTCAATCCTTCATTAGTCATTTACTAGTCAGATAAAGTTTACTTATTACTGCATGTATGCGTCCCTGTGTGTTCTTTTTTTACTCGATACTGCGTGTATGTGTTTCTGTGTGTGTTCTTTTTTTACTCGATACTGCATGTATGTGTTTCTGTGTGTGTTCCTTTCCCTTTTCTTTGTGCTTCTTCCAAATGTTTCCAATGTGTTCTCTGTTAATACTGAAGAGTTTATAATACCATTCTTCTGATTCTCTGTATAATGTTCGACTCTTAAGCTCACATGTAATTTATTTTCAGGCAAAGTGTAAACAAGAATCAGATATCCGTTCCTAAATCAATTACTTATTCTCTTCTGGAGAAGACATGTGAATTGATCAGAAATTTTCCAGAGTATCTTGATGTGGTTGTGAGTGTTGCCAGAAAAACTGATGGCAGACACTGGGCAGATTTGTTCTCTGCTGCTGGAAGATCAACAGAGTATATTCTTGCTCATCTCTTATGAACTTTTTGCTGGGGGGTTTTAATGCTTTTCTGCTTATTCAAAGAGTGGTAGAAATATATGTTTAGACCTTGTGCTAAAATGCAGTAATGAAAATGAAATAATGGCAGGAATCCTTGACAGGAGAATTGTTCTCGGGTTACCGGCCATTATGTGTATATGATTTTTATTTTACAAGAAAGGAAAATTTATATGCATAAAATATAATTACACAAAAACGGAAGGATCTAGTCAGGAATTGCATACATTTAGATCCATCATTTTTCTTGCTTACATTATGTTCATAAAAACATATAGAGGCTGTTTAACTGCATGTTCTAGAAGTGAAAGAGGCGAAGCATCGACAAACAACAGTAGTTCAGTTGATTTTTTGCTTTCACACTGCTCAGATGAAATTTAGGATCAAGTTTTAGAAATTATTTGGACGATTTGACTCTTGATTTTACCATCAGTTGATTGACTTATATTTGAGTATTAAGTACATTATATGCTTCAAACACGCTGTACACTTTGTTGCAATCTCTCTCATTGCTGCAAATCCCAAATTGGAACGATTTTAATTTCTTTGCTTTGAGTTTTCAGGTTATTTGAAGAATGCTTCCAACGAAGATGGTATCGCACGGGAGCTTGTTACATACTCGTAAGACTTTTTATCTTTTCCTCGACATATTTCAGGCTTTTGTCAGATAAGTGATTTTATTCAGTAAGTTCTTCCAATTTTTCAATAGTATAAATACAGTTAATTCTATTTAATTGGTCTTGTCACTACATTCTTGATATATTTTATTGCTTGGGATATGCATTTTGGATGTAATTTCCAGTGCATTAAGAGATCAGCTCACTTCAATTTCTTTTTTCTCCTTTTTTTTTTCTTTTTCTTTTTCTTTTAGAATTTTATAGGTAGTCTCTGAAATGAATAATCCATATATATATATATATATATATATTGTGAGAAGCATAATTTCATAAAAACTTTGCTTTTGAATATGAAAGGTTCCAAATTCAATTTAACGCGGATATCTGTGATTGCAAGTGAAATTTTTTTTATTTTGAATGTCTAGGTGATTGCTAAACTTGAAGGTCCTGCAGTCAGCCAGTACTGTGCTCTACGCTTATTGCAGGTACACATGTCCTAGAAGGCCGAAAAAGAAAAAAAAAAAAAAAAAAGAATTGTTTTTCCCATCTTCATTCCTTTGAATAATGGCTCTCAAAAAGATTGTCAAATCATGCAGGCAACACTTGATGAATCATTATATGAACTTGCGGGAGAACTGGTACCCCTTTTAACTGTTAATATTTGTTTCTTTTTGAAATAATGATTTAATAGGGACTAATGATTTCTTTCGCTGGGCTCTTAGGTGAGGTTCTTGCTGAGATCAGGAAGGGAGTTGGAACCGGCGTCAACAGAGTCGGACAGACTATCTCCAAGATTCTTGGGTTATTTCCTTTTCCGTTCCAGTTACAGAAATCAGTCTTTGGATAAAAGGTTGATTTACTGTTCTCTATCTTGGATGCAGAAGTTTTATAAAAGAAATAATACTAATCAAGATTATTATTATTATTATTATTATTTGGCACAGCACCTCATTCAAGGAGCAGAGTGCTCATGTCGCTTCTGTTAAGAACATCTTAGAAAACCATGCTAGCTATTTGATGTCAGGAAAAGAGCTTTCAAAGCTTGTAGCTTTTGTGAAGGGCACTCAGTTTGATTTAGTGGTAATATAAGTTTGTACTTTCTATTCAGGAATTTGCTCTACTGTCAAATGATTCTAAGTTGTTTACAATGTATTCCAGGAATATCTTCAACGGGAGAGATATGGTTCTGCTCGGTTGGAGAATTTTGCTTCAGGGCTTGAATTAATTGGACAGAAGGCATCCCCTTATCTGAAAATCCTCTATTTAATGCTTTATATTTTACTTACATCACTTTGGGAAGGAGCATATAAAGTAAAACTCTTGGGGCACATTGTTACAGGAACTAAAATTTAGGGGAATCAGAATATATATATATATACACATGGTAAATCTTATGGTGTATGACGAAGTGGGTATAAATTGTCCTCTGTGGGATTACCAACATGAATCGCTTTCCAGTTATAACGGAATGAACAAAGAAACAATTGTTTTCAGATTTGACTCAATTTCATCTCGAATTTTGTGATTACTAGTATGTTTATCATGTCCTGCTTTGGAGAAAGCCCGACCCTTAGGATGTCCTTCTGTACTTATCAGTAGAAGCTTTCTACTTTCACTCCCTGAACCAGCTCTTTTATGTTCCCAGCTCCAAATGGGTACACTGCAGAGTCGATTGGACGCAGAATTCCTTTTGGCACATATGTGCTCCGTCAAGTTCAAAGAGTGGATTGTTGTCCTCGCTACTCTTTTAAGACGAGCCGAGGTATGCTGGTCTTCCTGCCTTGAAAATTTCTGTATAATAGACCAGAAAAATATATAAATTATCATGTTTAACTTTCGTGCATTCATGTTTTTCTATATCTTCATCGAACAGGTCCTATTCGATCTTTTCCGGCACGATATGCGGTTATGGAAAGCATATAGCATCACCCTGCAGGTAGAGTCTCTTAAATGCTTCTGTCAAGATAACGATAACAATAACAATAAATTCCGACCATTTCCATTCACTAGCGTCTTCTAACCTAACTAATCTGTGCTTTTTCAGTCACATGCAACGTTTGTCGAGTATCATGATCTGCTCGAAGACTTGGACGAAAAACTTTCATCTTTTGTGAATTTGGGAGAGGAATAAGGATTACGTTTGGACTTGCAATTCCGGGCTGTGCCCGACAAACAAAACCAATTAACGTTAAGTGAATTTGTTAGTGAGATCACTTTCCGGAGTAACAAATGACACAATCAAATAAGGCAGCTGAACAAGCAACAAAGTAGGGATAAAGCGGTCATCTATGAGGTTGAACTACTGCTTCACATACATCTTTCTATAGAAGTAATTCAATTACTCGTCTCCTCTGGAATTACATGGTTCGTGTAGATGTACGAGTTACGAAACTCTTTTTGTTGTCCAATCAATACATTGGCTCTCAGTTTTATTCTTTTCCCTTTATTTTATTTTATATTTTTTTTTTCTTTTTTTGCCATGTATTGTATAATTTTTTGGGAGAAAGAAAGAGGGGGGAGATAAGGAGAAGACTATATAAATACAAGTTTGTTGTGCAGATTATGAGTTCCGAATTTGATATGTTACAGTTTTGATGTCTAATAATTTAGGCACAGCCTAGCTGACACCTTTTCTCTCATTACTGATGCTTCAACTGATCATCTGTTGTCTGTAATGCCCTTCAATGTTTTATGCGCGTTATACGTTACATATTCAAAGAAGATGGTACTTCCAGGATTCATATTAGCCTCTGAACAGGCATCTCTCGTTTCTGCTAAAGTACTAATCTTTAGAGTTTTGTGTGTACTCTTTATAAGAGATTTCTAGATTTCAATTATTCATGAACTTTTATCATAAATGGGTTGGTGGAGCGGTAAAAATATATATATATATATATATATATATATATATATATATATTTTTTTTTTTTTTCTAACACTCACATGCCCGCTTTAGGATTGTTGCCTAATCAATGTGTCGTATGATATTAGGGGTATGGTGGATATAGTGACATTAGAGCTACAAGTTTACGATGGACCAAACGGATCCAAATAAAGTCTCTCACTGTTGGCCCAGTTTTGGACCGGCCTAACCATGCCCAAAAGCTTATTCGGGCCGGATTGGGCTGAGCTGGCCAGGCCCAATATTATTATTTATTTGTTTTTTTGAGTGGTTGACCTCATCCCAATAGGCTTTCGGTCTGAGCTGGCTTGACCCTCCCTTAACTCGAGTAGGCCTGATTTTGCTGTTCGGGCCATCAAGTTAAGCCCAGACGACCTGAATTTGCAGTTCTACGTGGCATGAACAAAAACTGAAAGGGTAATTTTAACAAATACCTCTTAAAAGTACATGAATCAAGATTTTTACCTTTTATTATTGATTCATAACCTTTTTAGTCAAATGCTTACACTAATAAAAGGGTATTTATCAAGAGTAAGAGGTAAAAGTTCAAACTCATACTCTGAATGGTAAATTCTCTATTTTTTTAAACTGAAATCATGCTTCAAATAGATTGGCCCAAGCTATTTATGTTTCATTAGTGCCCCAATATTTTCAAAAGAGAAAATTGTTGAACTTAACTTTAGAGTGTATGAGTCTGGATTTTTACCCTACTCTTAATTAATACTTTTTTGACTAATATAATTATTTAACTAAAAAATTAATTAAGAGTAAGGAATAAAAATCTGGACTTATGCGCTATAAGAGGTATTTGTTTCCTTTCCTCTTTTCAAAATGATGACGAGGATGAGAACGAGATGTGGCCAATGATCTCCCATTTTATTCAGCAAGAAAAAAAAAGCTAATATTGAACTTTTTACCTATGGAAAGCCGTAATTTTTTATTTTTTATTTTTTTTTATATGCACAAGATTTAAATTTGTCCACATTCTTCATATATTTAAAATGTTGGGAAAAATAACATTTTTTGTATTTTGAGAATTATATGTTAGGGTGTGAAAAAAGAAAATACCAGTAAACACAACTCTAAACTGTGAGATTACACCATAAGCATATCAACTTAAGTATAAAAATTTAATGAAACCTAATGGAAATATGATGATCAAAATCTTACTGGTAGAATACTCTACCACAAAATTCTCAATTTTCTTTTAATACCTTGATTAAATCTAAAAAATAAAAAGATGGATGGTGGTTGTACTAGAAAGAAAACTGCCGCAAGAGATCCGAGTTACATTAGTGAATCAAGATTAAGATTTTATTGATTTTGAATTGTAAAATGTCTCGTGCTTAGTAATTTGGAAAATTACAAGATTGTAACCAGAGAATGCATACTCCACTCGAAGGAGAACTACCATCATGGTTTACATCTTAAGAGCTGAAAACCCTTTTCAAAGAGACCAATTTGTCCAGTGCCACGTATTAGAATATATTATGACATATTCAATCAAATGAAATACAACTTTTTATTAGTTTTGCGTAGCAGTTCTCTTTAGTAAATTAGCTTGTAACTAATTACTAATAAAAAGTAAACATTAGTATTTTCCGCACTTAAACGAGTCATTTATGATATCTTATTCGAGCAACCCAATTACATTTATAGTCAAGGGAGGAAACAAAAGGGAAAAAAAAAAAGAAAAAAAAAAAGGGAAATATCAAATATGCATTAAAACCACAAGCTTCACTTAGCAGCTGAAACGCTTTTTCTTTTTTTTTTTTTCTTTTGACTGATTCATACAAGTAAAACACAAATCACCAGCTGAAGCTAATAGACTCAAAATGCAGATTTTCAGCCAATCCTGACGAGCAAATGTTGGCAACTTCATGCCTCAGCTTCTTTGGTCCGCAAGCAAGAATTCCGATGCTCGTTCCTTTGCACTCAAACAAAATTCCTGTCCAAAAAAAAAAAAGAAAATATATGTATATATATAGATACAATCCCAATATTCATAATCTATTGCGTCTTAAAAAAGTTCCTCAAAATGCACAATTGTTTACTTTTAAGTATTTACTTACTCTTAAGATCAGGTCTTTCACCATAGTGCACATTAGTGGCTTGGCCAAGAGATTGCTGAGGAAGGCTCTCCAACTCTCTCTCGGCATTGTAAAACAGCGACTCCGGTGACCCCATCGGCGACGATCTGTCCAAGTTCTGAATCTGCTTTGCCTCCATGGCATTCTGTCTCTTATTCCAAAACACTGCCAAACTAGCACTAACAGCTATGGAGAAGCAAATGGCCAACATGTTGAGCACACCCCTCAAAGAGTAAGAGAAAACTTTATTGGAATTGTGGTCAATTGGGTAAATGTAGTAGCGAGTAATGACCCCAATTAAGATGAGAAAGATGATAAATGATGACACTATTATGCCTCCAAGCCAAAGCCAGCCATTTGGACCCAGAGTGGCTGAAATGGGTGAATCGGTTACGTGGGGTTTGAACCATTTGGTGAGGATTAGGGGCTTGGAGTTATGATCTGATTTGGGCTGCTTCTCTCTCGTTATGTAAGTCTCAATTTGTAGGTCGAGATTGGTAAGGTCAGATGGGGTTCGGGTAAGTGGAAGAATAAGGTCTAGCATCGAGAGGTCTGTCGAGTTCTTGAATGCGGCGATCAGAAGTACTCGCGGGGTTTTGCATTTCAGGGTTGTGGTTGTGAAGATGAGCTCTCGGATTATGGAGATGAAAGGGGTTATTCCACTTCCTCCGCTCACCATCACAAGAGTGTCATGCCTGCGAAAAGTTCAAAAGTGGCCACGAGTTAATCACATACTGTAACATATATCATAGAATTTTAAATTTTAAGACTTTAGCTATATTTATCTATACAAGAAATGTATAAAGCCATTAATAATTACCCTTTTCATTCTGTCCATTCACATATTGTCATTTGACACAATGTTAGCAATGAGTGATCGAAAGCACACGTAAGATTTATTATGGCTTATTCGCAATGTGCGAGGTATTTACACTTTCAGTTCTTAGTGGTTTTTACTATGATTAAGAAGAAGATTATAAGAGAATTACATATAGGGTTCGTTACCTTAGAAAATTAGTTGAAACAGGTCCGTAAGGTCCTTCAACAGCGACTTCAAGCCGATCTACGTTGGAAGCCGACGACGAAAGCAGTAAGTAAAGCTTCTTAGCCCAACTTCCTTCACTCTTAATGACAACGCTGAGCTTCTCCGGTTCCAAATTGCTGTTAGAAGTAATGGTAAAAGGATGCCATTGAAGCTTGGAGATACTTGGCACATTTATGAAAATAGTGCTCGTTGGATGGTATTTCAAGCCTAAAAAGGGAAAAAAAAAAAAAAAAAAAAGGTTATTGATGTAGGGAGATTCGAGTAATAGTAGTCATTTTTTATATTTTATTATCCTTTGTTATAGGTTTTTATTATAGCTTAGTTTTGTTACTAGCTTATCGTTTATTTTAGTTTGTATTTTATGATTGTTTTGTGAGTGGACTATAAATAGCCACTTAGTTATTGTATTAAGAGACTTTGAATATTTTGATAATTGAATTAAAGTTGAATTTTCTCTCCAATTTAAGAAGTTTCCCCGGTTTTTTTTTAAGTAGATTTGGGATTGCATGTTCCGTTTCCCATCCAAATTAGGCCGATAAAATCTCGTTTTATTCATTCTATTGCATCAGTTATCAACAATGATTTAATTATAATTACAATTTTTCCAAAAGGAAAAAAAAAATTTAAAATGACACAAAAGGTGTTAGTTAAGTTGATAAAATAATTTACCTGGGTTTTTGGAGAAATTGAGTTCCACAGATTCACAGGATAAAACGCGACTAGAAATTAGGCGAACACTTTTCTGAGATTGTAAGAATCTCAAGTAACGATCAACTAAGAAGAGATAGAAGCCAGGGAGCATCATGCAAGAGTAAGAAATGCCAACATGGAGGACAAAGAATATGACAAAGATGATGTAAAGATAATGAGTGTAAAAGAAGAGCTCAAAGAATTTTCGCCTTATACGAGGTATGGTTGTTGCCCACATGGCCAGTCCAGCGAGCAAAGCTATTTCTCCTGCGACATTTGATATCCCAACTTTGTCCCACTTAAGCATCTGCAACATTGGAAGAAGACATATATTTGAATAATCTGATTCTTTTAACTTCACTTTGGAGATTGAGATATGAATATAAAATAAGGTTAATTTCTTTGGGAAGTGGAGATTATCTTTAATCTTTAATATTTAATGAAACTAAAAAGCTAAACCATAATACAGAGTCTCTAGTACGGCCGAGCTCATATATAGCACTAAACATTATCTTGTCAGGGAGAAAGGATTAAATAATATTTGTCTGAAAATATTTATGGTAAGTAACCTATTTTAAAATATTTATCGTGAATAACATATTTGTGGAATGATTCATTTTCGAAGTATATTTAAGGTATAAATTTGCTTCATAAATAAATCAGCTTACTGTAAATACCAAATATGTTATTTATTAATATTTTAAAACATGTTATTTTTTGAAAATATTTTTAAAAATCTCTGCTATGATTTTGCATTTTGTTCTTCAAGAGAAATATGAGCTCGCACCTAAAATTTTGTGACACCACTAATTATGAAACATTTTTATTCAAAAGCCCTGTTTTTTTATACATGAAAAACCTTTTTTAAACCAAACATTAATATTGCTATATGGTTGAAAGTGAAAAGAGACAAATCCATTTATACTTGATTAATACCCTCTAATTAAAGAATTATATTAGTCAAAAGAATATTAATTAAGAATAAAGAATAAGAATCTTAAAAGTAATTTTCTCTAATTTTTTATAAAATAATTTTGGAGGGATGGTCAAGATAGCAAAAGTTGGAATTTCAAAACTTATCAAAGTAGATATATTTATGTCTACCAGTTTTCTATTTCAATAAAATTCTAGTTCAGCGTTATATTTGATTCACAAAATGTGACCTTTGATAGTTAATCTAATATTGACTTTCATAGGTTCCAATCCTCTCATGAAGCCGGAGACTAGCTAGCTAAATAGTGCGGAACAGAAAAAGAACTCTCACATGGGCCGTAATGGGATAACAAGTGAGCCTAGAGGTTACAAGGTTCAGTCCACTTCCAAGGACATGGGGGAAACTATAAGTCAACGACTGCACTCATCCGCTACCGTACACGTGTCCTCCCACTAAGACAAAGGACCCCACCAATGAGATTCTCCTCCCATTAGTTAATCTAGGAGATGATCCTGACCGTACAATTTTTTGACGTGGTTCTAACGACCACTTTTGATGATCCTAACAGTCTAAAGTCAAATCATGATACGAATTTTTTTTTTTTTTTTTTTCTAGAAATCCTGATGCAAAAGTTTTTGCTTGAATTTTCAGGAGAACCGAAGAATTTGACTTGTGGGTCCTACCCTCACTTTTATTGAGGACCACCACTACGACATAAAAATTGGACATTGGATATCAACCAGAAAGTTGTGTATACATTGTATGTGTCTACGACAATATATTATATCTTTCTTTATCAGATATTATCAGGATGTGTTTGGAGTTATTTTCGTTTTTATTTTTTACGTTTTTTGAGAAAGAAAAAATAAAAACGAGAGAAAAACGGTGTTTGGCACAATTAAAGACAAAAAACAGAAATGAAAATAATTTTTTAGTTTAGTGTAAAATGTGGGAGAAATGAAAAATGACTTTTAGTCGTTTTTCATTTTTTGTTTCCGTTTTCTCCACTTTCGAGTAGAGAGAGAGAGACATTAATGGATTTTTTTATACTAAAAACAATTTCTTAAAAAAACTACCAAACGCATTTTTAAAACTGATTTATATTTGAGATTGAAAACGTTTTCATTTCTATTTTCATACAAAAAATAAAATCATTTTGAAACGAGTTTTAAACGCACTCTTAACGTGGAAATATAACAATGATGTAAAATTACATTACAAAACGAGTCCCTTATTCTCGTATAACATAATTATCATACAGTAATACGAGCAATCTGTATTCTCTTAATATTTCCATTTATGTATGCATGTTTATCTTATGCCCATATAGGCACATGTATTTGATTGTTAAGTTTATATAAAAAAAGAATAATAATAAAAAAGAACATAATATGCTTGATCAATGATAACTTATGTCCATTTAGGAATAACTAATACGTTTCTTACAGGAAACTAACAAGTCGTCATATTTAAGTTTATATTAATTATTGTAGCTATATAAATTACATGGTTTTGGTTATAAAATTCTTACAAGTTATGGTTTTGGAAGGATGGGCACAAATTAATCAAAATATATGTATGTGTGTGCCTATATATATGTATATATATATAACATTTCATACACATGTACGCTACGTTTTGTTATGTCATATATATATATATATATATATTTATATATATATATATATTCTTTTTTGAGAAGCAAATGAATAGGCAAGCATTAGCCAAAAATGCAACTGCTTTGTTCACTGTAACAGTTTTTCAAGATAAGCCTTTTTCGTGGGGCGAATAACGAGTGAAGGAGGTCTTTTTTGCTAGAAGAATGACA